TTCTGTCAACAAATTGTAAGTTTCAGTGGCAGATTTTCCAAGTTTTGTGAGGAATTTGATGTTAGCACGTTGTTCTGCATTAGCACTCAGCATTATTCCGACGGAGCTCAGAAACACGATCCGCTTCTAACAATGGTCGCGGCCAGACTAACCGATGCACGTGAATGAAACTTTGTGTGACGGTAGAGGGAAGTCCAAGGGTCAATGCCCTACCCTCCTCTTCGTCAATGACGTGGCCGGAAATGAGTCATAAAAGTAATCCGGGTTCTTTATTGCCACACCTTGTATTAAAATTAATGAAGATAAGACTCGGGGTCTACTCTCGTGGTCATCGACCGCCTGAGTCTTGTCTCACTCTAAATGGACGAAATATTCCATTTATAAATAGTGCAAAATATCTAGGTGTAATCTTCAATAAGAGAGTTACATGGAGATTGCACATAGAAATGATTGAAGCCAAGGCCTTCAGAACATTCATTAGAATATACTCCCTATTCAAAAGTGAGCGATTGAGTGCTAGGGTTAAAATGATGCTCCACGAAGCTCTCATTAGATCTGTAATGACTTATTGCTAGTCCCGCCTGGGGATTTGCGGCAGACACTCATCTAGTGAAATTGCAGCACCTGCAGAACAAGGTTCTCCGCACCATTGGCAATTTTCCAAGGCGCACACCGATCCACGATTTGCACATGGCATTCAAAATCCCATATGTATATGACTATATAACAAAATTATGCAAGAAATGAGAATGTTCACAACATCGGACAAGGCGAAGCCCAACACAGAAAGTACAAGAGGTTTAAACTTGGCGGTGGTCAGGCATATGACTGTTCAGGTGACTAGACTGCTGTGGTAGCGAATACTACTAGAAATAGGGCATACTCTGCTATACTGAGCCTGGATTGACAGAGGCCTTGTATATATTGTACAAAGAAATTGGAATTAAAATTAAATTTGTAAATATATGTAAATACTGACAGTGGACTTGCTAATACGGACTATGACTGGCAAATGACAGACCCGACCTCTTGTCAGAGAGGGCGCCCCAAATGGACAGGACAGTAACTTTCATATAAGAAAAAAAGAAAAAAAATCTGGTCTTGAGCCCCAGCGAGTCCCAAGGGACTCGGACCCAAGAAAGACTGCGCTCGCAAAGACCAGCAGCATATACAAAAGACAGACCCGTCCTCTTGTCAGAGAAGACACCCCACAGAAGCAAGACCGTGACTGTCAAACGGTAATAATTAATATCTGGTCATGAGCCCCAGATGGGGTTTGACACCAAGACTTACTAACTGACTGACCGTCAGTCGCAGTGTGACTTTGACTTGTGTTGACAGAAGCCAGTCGGTAGTCACCATGGAGAGATGGACAGTTCTACAGTCTACTGAGAGTTGTTAACACGAAAGGACTGACTGTGAAATGACTTGTTCAACATTTTGTGTTATAGTTATGTTGAATTGTAGTTACGTTGCTGAGTAATAAAGTGATGTCACAAGAATACGCCTCAAGGTCTTGTTACACGACAGAGTAAGCACAGAGAGGACCCAATTAAAGATATTGATAAAGATACAGGTGTAACAAGTACCTGGAAGATACTGTGGATCTGACATAGGAGTTCTTGTGCCATCTAAGTGCAGCATCATTCACTGTTCTCTCTTTAATATTCCTTTATTGGACATTGCATGTTTTGGCTTATCTGGCCATCTTCAGGTGTACAGGTTATGGTTAAGGATTCTGCTGCTCACTCTAATGCAGTTTTCTTTCCTCCTATTGTAGTTGCCTCTGGGTATGCTGGTTATGTGGGTTACCATCAGTTTTATTTAGGTGTCTTAGGTTGCACGTGGTTGCTTTTCTGTAATGTGTGATGCACTGTGTTAGAGCTTTTTAAAGGTAAGTATGTGTATTCACTTACTGTATATCGTATGTCCAAAAAGTATCTGACTTTATTTTTTTCCACCGTAAGTAATGGCCAAAGGGGTGGGGAAACTGAACGTGGTGGTAGAAGGGACTTTCATGCACATGCGTGATTTTTTACTGACTTGCAACGCTGCCGGATGTGTCTGTGGCTGCCAGATAGCGAAGTGGTGTAACGTGCTTGTCACATTCTCGTTTCGCTCAAGATGACAGAATGCTTGGAGCAGCGATACTGCATTAAGTTTTGTCAGAAATTTGGGGATACCCAAGTGGAAACAATTCGCAAAATTCAGCAGGCTTTTGGCGATGATGCAGTGGGGGTCACTCAAATTAAAGAATGGTTCAGCCGCTTTAAACATGGCCGTATGTCGGTGGACAGTGAGCAGCGTTCCGGGAGACTGTCAACGAGCCAAAATGCTGATGTCATTGAAAAAGTGCGGACACTGATCATGGAGGACCGTTGTTTGGCCATTGGTGAAGTTGCTGATGAGGTTGGGATCAGCAGAGGTTCCGCAAACACAATTTTAATTCAGGATTTGGGCATGTGAAGAGTGGTGGCAAAATTTGTGCCCAAGTTGCTTTCGCCGGAGCAGCAACAACTCCGCCTTGAGGTCACGCAGGACATGCTGGAGTGCGCCAACAGGGATCCTGTCTTCCTGAAGACTGATCACTGGTGACGAGTCGTGGGTGTACGGATATGACCCGGAAACCAAGGTCCAGGCATCACAATGGAAGCATCCAACATCCCCGAGGCCCAAAAGAGCACGACAGGTTCGGAGAAATGTGAAGGTGATACTGACTGTTTTTTTTCGATTACTGGGGTATTGTGCATCATGAGTACGCACCACTATGCCAGACCATCAATAAGGAATACTACCAAGAAGTCCTCCACCATCTTCATGATGCAGTTCGGCGCAAGAGACCGGAGCTGTGGGATGCACGCAACTGGCAGCTGCATCATGACAATGCCCCAGCTCATTCATCGCACCTGATCCAGGGTTTCCTGGCCAAGCATGGCATTCTGCAGGTTCGCCAGGCTCCCTACTCTCCTGACATGGCTCCTTGTGATTTCTGGCTGTTCCTGAGATTGAAGACACTGCTAAAAGGCTGCCATTTTGACAGCCGCGAGGACTTCACACAGAACGCAATGACGCAGCTGCATGCCATTCCAAAACAAGCCTTCCAGAATTGCTTCCAGTGATGGAAGGACTGCTGGGCTAAGTGTGTGGAGTCACAAGGGGCCTACTTTGAAGGTGATTAGGTATTGTAACCACTCAGATACAGAACTTTTTTCCCCGGCCCAAGGTTGGATACTTTTTGGACAGAGTAGTATATGATGCCACAATCAGTAAACCAAACAAAACCTTAATTGATGTCAGGTATACAATAACTGTCCACAGACTTCTTCAGAAGAGCCTGTGTCTAAAGCCATACAAATTACAGGTAGCCCAGATACTTACAGCATGTGACAGCTTAGATCTCAGTCTGCAGCACATGTGTGCAGAAATTTTGGAACTTGATAATTTCCTAAGTCGTATTGCCTTCACTGGTGAGGAAAAATTTCTCATATCTGGATTTGTTAGTTGGCATAATAGTGTCATGTGGGGCTGTGGGCCTCCCGGAGAAAGTTTAAAACAAGAGGAGAATTGTAGGTGGTGCTTACTGTGAACTATTTAGTATCTAACAACTTCTCAACTTGTGTTAAAAAAAGCTGTTTGAATTTATGAATAAAATTTTGCAAAGAACACGCTCATCTGTTTTTGTTCCTAAGGTACAGGTGCCAGAATCCTTGGCATTCTCTTTGATAGACTCTGTATATGTGATCCAGGTAGATGGCTTTTGTGTGTGTGTGTGTGTGTGTGTGCACGCGCATGTCCGTGTGCGCACAGTGTTTTTAAGCTGATGTGCACATCAGCACATGAGTAATAAGTAGTGGAAAACTTGTTGAAAGTTGCACAGATGCTGGTCCATTGTATGTTTCAGCCTTGAGGCCAGAACTAAGCATCAGGATAGCAGCAAACTTATTTTTACAAAAAGTTAGCCATGTCTATCCCCCACCCACCCATTGAAGAGCAGCATTTTCCTTATTGGTACTGTAGATTGGACTGTACTGTCAAAAATATTGATATGTGTTGGTGGTTATAACTGATTCATCATCCATAATTTTGAAGAAAGCAGTCTTCTGGGATTTGGCACCGTGTATATGTGGTGTTAACCGACGTTTCGGAGGAACGTATCGCCCCCATCTTCAGGGTTGAAGAAGTATAAGTAAATCTGCAAGCGACAACACCGTGAGACACGGTCAAGCAGTCTGCTTGATACGTTCCTCCGAAACGTCGGTTAACACCACATATACACGGTGCCAAATCCCAGAAGACTGCTTTCTTCATAGTCACCGCCGTGAAAGCCTCAAATCTTACATCCATAATTTTATTTGTTCATAATCTTCTAATTCCACATTGTAATTTGAATAGATGATACCTTTGATACAAAACCATGTTTTTAGTTGCTGGTGGTCGGAGACATGTACCCACAATGCCCTCTGCCACATCACATCACGGCACTGTATGTGGTCGCCGTTGCCAGTTGTGTGGCACTATTCGGCCATGGTGTTGCTCTCGTGGGTGCAGATGTTCTGGTATATTCAGCGAATTACCATGAAGAACCTGAGATGGAATTGAAAGATGCTGCCGCACATTTTGGAGAATCACTGCCTGTAGAAGGTTTGAAAGTATGTGAACAAAGTCATTGTAGAGCAAGAAATAGCAGATCCATCTGTATACACATTTTATTTTACGCTTTAGTTGTAATATACTAGCAATGCCCACACACAAATGTGTGTTCTTATATCCATGACCAGAAAATGTTTTAGGTATTGGCCTGTAGCCATAGCATTTGTGAGCTGGGCATCCTTCAGTTTTCAACTTAGTGTAATTTAATATAATTACAGCTCCATCTAACCATAGTAAATGCAGTTAAGATGTATATGAATATGTTACAAACAGTGTTAGCAGTACCATCTGTTGTTCTACTCTGTAGTTAGTGCTCATATGCAAGACTTGCGAGTGGTGCACCTTGGAGCTTTATGGTGAACTCCCAGCAAGGTTATCTCACTAGTGCAGTTCAAGATTCAGAGGCCCTAGTCAGTGCCTTAAGGAGGCTTCAGGGAGATCTGTAGGAGGTGAAAATATAGATTTTTTTTCTCTTCAGATTTGCTTCCATTTTGCAGTTACAACAGTTTACAGTGATGTTAGTTTGTACTGTTGTGTTCATTGGATGGAGACTGCATGGTGGGTGATCATAAGAGTAGATAGTTGAAGAGCAATTATTAGACTCAGACTATAGCACTGGTAACAAAACCAGTGGCATGAACAGAAATGTTTATGATTTTCTCATTTGAAAAATAAGGGGTCATTTTATATTCAGGCTTGTATGGTAATTGTTTCCATTTTGTAAAAATTGACAGTCACAATAATACAGAGATATCAACACAGAAAGTTGTAACTCATTAACAGTTTGAAATCGTGAGAGAGAGAGAGAGAGAGAGAGAGAGGAAAAAAAAAAGAAAACCTCATTTATGTTTTCAACTTCATTTGACCTCCCAGATGTCTCCTTAAGAATTGTACTAGAACTTTGAATCATCCTGTATGAAGGGATTAGAATGATTGTCATTGCTCTGAGTAAGGTAAGAAGGTAAAGTTGCCCCTGTGCTTAACTAGTTACGGACTGCGCCATGAAGATGTATGGGGAAGTGGATGTACAAACACTCGTATTCTTGATCTTGGTACTAGTTGGAGGTCAATGATCAGTTTCATGCCCCAGCTGTTTTACCACCAGTGAAAGAGATCCTGGTACCCATTCAGTAGGAGGCTTGGTAGGTCCCAGAACTGGTCTGGATGACATGGAGAGGAGAAAAATCTTGCCCCTACTGGGGCTCATACTCTGATCCCTCTGCCATCCAGCCCATAGCCAGTTGCTATTCTGACTGCACTGTCCCACCTTGTTGCTGCTGCTGCTGTTTTTCTGGTGAATACTCTTTCATTGTCTGAGGATGTGTATTTGACATGCTTAATGTTTCTAATGAAAAGAAATCTCCAGTAGTAAGGTAAAGGTAAAGTTGTCCCTGTGCTTAACTCATTAAGTACTACGCCCTGAAAGTGTATGGGGGAGTGAATGTATAGGTCCACATTTTCTTTACCTTGGAATTAGTTGGAAGTGAGTGGTCAGCTTCACGCCCCTGTTGCTTTACCCCCGGGGAAAGAGCCCCCAGCAGCTAGGAGGCTGGGTGGGCCCCAGAGCCAGTCTTGCAGCCGTCCGCCGACTTACAGTTGCCACGACTTCACTCGAGCTTGAGTTCTTTCTCTCAGGGATACAGGTGCTTTGGAGAAAGGAGTGGAACACACTTCGGGGTAAATAAATCCGGGATCTCCAGAACACACCGTGGATGGTAGTTTTAATTTAAAGTTTCACTGATGATGAATATGTACATTATTCTCCCAGCTAGCCGCTCCGTCCGCCGACTAGCTACAACTACTCTTGAACACCTCTCTCCTCTCTATCTACATTCCAAGTACTGTCCTCCTCTGCTCCCTATAGCCGACCCCCAACTTTACAAGTCCCCCAGTTGGCGTCAGAAAAATAAGGAAATAAAAAGGGAAAACCAAGGGCCTAGCCCAACATCTGGCCTACATTCGTATTTTTCGAGATGCCCATAAACCTCTGTCGGTCTTCAAGGAATCCAAGACCCCTCCCAGCCGGTCTTGCACACGGCCAGTTCATGGGTTTATGATATACTGGGAGTAAACAGGTGGCGTTAGGGACAATAGCGGCACCCTTAGCCTAAGGAAGACAATAGCTGAATTACAACTAGAAGGTCCGGGGATGGTACCTCGCCGATGGAGCGTCTCTCACGGTATTAAACAATGCATAAGTAGTTCATAATCTTAATTATATAATTTTGATGAGGGAAGTACGGTTACAGTCTTGACAACGTAGAGTATAGAAAATTCTTGACCCTACAAGGACTTGAACTCTGACACCTCGGTCGTTCAGCCCATAGGTAGTAACTATACCGACTGTGCTATCTGACTCCTAAGAAATCTCCAGTATTCAAGATATTTGATGTCCTTTGTTGTACATACTTTCTTATATATGACTGAACATGACTGCATTATCTGTCTCTCTAAGATCCATTTTAATATTGTCCACCCCATTATACACTTTACATATCCTGTATATATGACACAAAACAGAATGCATACTATTAAGACCACTTTTCTACCCAGGGCCTTGAAAAGGGGCTGATTTGTTAGTTCCTATTTCTAGCCTGCCAAGAATGGATTGTCTTTTTGTAATTCTTGATGTTCCATTGAATGTCTTGTCTGGGAAATATTGATGCTTCTAAAAAGGGCCATTTTTCTCACAGTTTTGCTTTCTCTTCTGTGACAAAACAGTAATGTGGCCCAGAAAATGGCTGTCTTGTCCATTTCTGTCCTTTGACGTAAAACAGTGTTGTTCTCCTGTCATGACCCATTTCACACTCAGCATTACCATTGGCCTCTAGTAGGCATCATTCCCTCTTGTGGATCTTGATGACCACTGTCCTTATACCCTGTCTGTGTAACCAAACCAGTGTATCGTTCCCCACACTTTATCCCTGAAGATGGAGTCAGCATGTCACTGTAGAATGCCTGTATCTGCTTACAGCACTGTGTGATATAACCCAGAAGACCAGAATCTGACCACATTTAGTTACTCTCCCTAGTTTAGATAACCATGGCCCTCTTCTTTCCCAAAATATTGAGTCCAGTCATTGAAGCGTATGGTCTATCTTCTGAGCTACTAGGTTCCCGTTTAGGTTGGGTTACATATCATTTTGAGTTTCTTCGCTCTGTCTCTCAGACTTCCCGAACAAATGCTAGGATAAATTTTCTTTCCTAACAAGCTTATTGACTTCATGGAGCTGAGCCCTTCTTGAGAAGCTGCCAGTTGTGCAACTACTCAAGAACTTACCAAAATTTTATGGAACCCAAAGGTTCATTACCATGTTCACAAGAGCCCCCCACTGGTCTCTGTCCTGAGCCAGACCAATCCAATCCACACCATCACATGCAATCCTATCTCTCTAAGATCCATTTTAATATTGTTTACCCACTGACATCTTTGTCTTCCTAGTGGCCTCTTTCCTTCTCGATTTCCCACCAATATCTTATATCTCCCAGGATGTATCCCTCTACTATCTCATTCGTGCTACATGCCCTGCCCAGCTCATCCTCCTTGATTTGGTCATTCTATAAATCTTTCCTCTTTTAAATAATTTGCATTTGTACCTGGATATAATTTCATTCTTGCATTTTATACATTCTTAAGTAATGTTTTAACTAACCAACTACCAGTATTAATTGGTGTATTTTGTTGTACTACTTGACCATATTAACTTCTAGTGCAGACAATTAGAAAAATAATTTAATTTTTTTTGATGGAGGAGTTTAAGATCACTTTCCTAAGTCACTATAGTAACCTAGGCTGTTACCAATGATAAACATGTCAGCTGTCCATTGTAACCATTCCAGAAACAACTAGACCAAGCAGCATCACTTCAGTAGAAGTAGTTATTACAAGTTTTTCAATACAAGTGTAAGACTATTTTTGTTCTGTTTGCTGTAGGGTCTGGTTGTGTTGGCCAGCCCTGATGAGAAGGCCTGTTCAGATATTAAACCACCACCAGATAGTTTTCCCAACTACTTGGGAAATTGGATAGTGCTTATACGTCGCTGTGGCTGTTCGTTTGAAGATAAGGTGCGGGCAGCACAGAATGCTAACTACAGTGCTGCCATTGTTCATAATGTGAATTCAAGTGAACTGGGTAAGGTTATAATCTTAACTTCAAGAATTTTAGTAATATACACTGTCCGTGCACTACAAATCTATGCAATTCAAGTGACAGTTGATGAGTGCTTGTACTACATATTGCTGTGTGGATTTTCTTTTAAAGTGTGTTACTCATGGGCAGAGGATTGTGTAATTGGAGCATGCAAAAATATGGGTTCGGATAATGTATTGTATTTCTTGCATTAGCATTCTAATTCCTGTTATTTTGTTGTTTATTCCTCATTTGTGTTTATTTAAGACATTACATTTTGGAAAGTAGTTGTATTTCCATCATCAAATAAATTGGATATGAACAAAAACATAACTAGTTTGGTCCCCCCTGTTATAGGTACCTCAAACCATGGACCATCATACTGGAAATTATTGTGTTGATTCTGATAAGCAAAGTATATTTTTCAGTCTTGATTATCATGTGCTTTTTGCCCTGCTAATCCAGATTTAGACACCCCTTCCACATATATAGTCTTAATTAGAATGCACCGATCAACTTGCAGGCTCTGATATATGTACATGTGTACATTTGTAATGAATATTGTGCAGCGTAGGCATATATCCTTGGAAAATATAAGGAAAAAGATACTGAACTTTGCAAAATGTTGCAAGGGACAACATTGAGGTTCACACCACGGTAGGCTGTGATGTAATGTGCAAGGGTTAGATGCTAAGAAGCTGCTTTAAGCTTACAAAGATGCAACATGGAAACATCTGAAAGAAAATACACAGTAATGTGTTGCTGGCAGTGTAAAAGATACTCAGTAAGTTTGTCCCTGTGCTCAGTGAGTTAAGTACTATGCCATGAAGGCTTATGGGGGAGTGCATGTATAGATCCACATTTGCTTGACCTCGGCACTAGCTGGAGGTGAGTGGTCAGCTTCACATCCCCGCTGATTTACCCCTGGGGATGGAGCCCCTGGTACCCATTGGATAGGAGGTTGGGTGTACCCCAGAGCCGGTCCGGACCATTTGGAGCAGAGAAAATTCTTGACACTACCAGGACTCAAACTCCGACCCCTCAGTAGTCCAATCCGTAGCCGGTCACTATACTGACTACACTAGCCTGGCTCCTGTTGCTGGAGATGTAACTACGAGAAATAATGAACAGTGGATTTGTGGATATGAAGTGATTATTTTTATTTCAGAATGTCTGGTATATATTAGTGAACCAATTTTGAATTTTATCTTGTCTTTGTATATTCAGTACCTATGTCAGCCAAGAATCCAGAGGGTATCTTCATCCCATCTGTGTTTGTGGGTGCAGAGGCAGGCATGGTTCTGAAAGAAGACTACCAGTATAAAGATGGATATTTTGTTGTAATTAATGATGAGGTGCCTTTCAACATCAACACGCATCTTTTGTTGCCATTTGCTATTGTAGTGGCAATTTGTTTCCTTGTCATGGTTGTCTTTATGGTGAGTATACAGTGATCCTGAATTTATGTGTTCCAAAGGTAATGTAGGTATGGTAACGTTTTGCTCCTATATTGGAGGTTGGTCATTTACCAGCGCTTTGTCTGAAAAACCTTATCCAACCAAAGCTGAATAGTAACATCTTATGACAACATAAAATCTATCTGTAGTTCCTTCCTGTGTCACCAGATGATCGATGAAGCCCCCTTGTGCAATTCCTTCGATGTGTATAGATTGTTTGCTGTCCATTTCTTTACTGCAGACGGATAGAGCACTGTGAAAAGTGGCCAGGCTTGGAGGGCAGCTGGCAGGAGATTTGCTGTTAAATAAGCTCAGTGTTAGCGCAGAACAGCGGAAGTGCACCACTACTGAAACTTCCTAAATGTCTGCAGAAATGAAACATTAGAGGAAATCTATGAAAATTGTTTAAGACCTGTAAATGATTATTTTGGAGATCTCTGTTATGATGATATCAGTGTGTAATTTATATTTCAGCATCCTGTTGCATTGATATATCACTCGTCCACTTGCTTCTGTCTATAATGCAGCACAACCTTTGATTTTAAGGTGTCATTTACAGTCGTTTAAAATTCATAACTTATCAGTAAAATTATATTTTTTATGTAATTGTTGCAACATGTTTTGGCCTTACAAGGCAACTGTTAACTGATTGAAAGCACCTCACTTCAGCAGCTCTTACATCAGTATATTTACATGCCATTTCTGCACGTCATTGTTATTCGAGAATGTATGCCCACAATTCATTCACGCTCTTTTCATACTGTGGCATCCATGTTGTGTTCCTTTTGTGTGTAGTTTACTTTAGTCGGGCATATATCCCTTGTATTTAATTCTAGAGGAAATCCTCTTTTCTGTGAGTTTGGTGTCTACAGTACATAGTAGATAGCCTGCATAATTTTTTATATTCTCATACAGTGGAGAGCAGTGAATTGAGAAAGAGGGCAGGTAGATTTCAAACATGCTTGTTCATATTACATGTTGTATGCAAAAAGTCACATGGTTGCCATAACATGCTGAAGGAAGTACACCTCATAATGTGAAACTGCTGTTCAGTGGTGAGAAAATTCCATTAATGCATGCAAGAAGACACAGCGGATATCCTCTGATGTAGTAGCAGCTGCCATTGATGTGGTCCGTGTATAGGTTATGTATGCTGTGCTTGCAGCAGTCTGCCTTGAAAGAACCAAAACCTCTGGAACATGGCATTATTTTGCTTCAGGATGATGCAGCACCTCATTGCCACAGACATGTTACAAGCCTGGGGATGAGAAAGACTAGCAGGGTCTTCTTATTTTCATGACTTTTCCTCATGTTATGATCAGTGTAATAGAAGCAACAAAATGACTCAAAGCAATTGAGTGTTATTTTATATGATGTATTGTTGTATTTATTATATGCGCAAAGAGTTTTGTAGTACAAAATGTACCACATCACTTAGAATACAAGATGCACATTTTGCACTTTTTTTCTAATTGAGAAATAGAGGTTTGTCTTAAATTCAAGGAATGTTACCGTCCTTCTTGATCCTACGTTGTGCTCCACTTATCACCGTCCTCCCTCTTCTCGTGGATGTCAAGAAGTTAGGTGGGAAGGGAGGAGAATTGTGGTTGTTGGAGCTGGTAGGCAAGAGCTCGCTTCCTGTACACCCTTAGGTGTCTCGTGAGTAGGTAAAGACGGGAGTATCTGGGTTCTGTTCGGTAATTGGTAGAGCTGAGTTCATATCCCGGTCTTATACGGGTCTGGCTCGGGCAGGGCGGGAAGAATCTTTCACTACAATCACACACCTCTTTAGACCGTTGCACTTAGTAATCATTTAATTCCCTCCAGCTTACTGAATACAAATGAATCTATTAGTAACACTTATTTAGAACTTTACTTGTAATACTTTTATGGAAGGAACATAGTTGTAATTTTGTGTCCGACTTTGCCGAAAGTTGGATGAAGACTCCCTGAGGTGGAGTGCACTCTCTCTGAATCCTGAGGTCCACGAACCCCAGACTCCAGGAGAAATCCACTCCTCCACTTTTGCCATTGGTTAAGTTTTCAAACTAGGAGGTTCCCTAAATTTTGAATTTCCAATCATGTTGCTTTGCTATGTGATTCTGGCAGATGCTCACCTGACGCTAAGGTTGACAGCCCCTTGATGCATTACGACCAGGGGATGAGGCTCTGGCCGTCCCACTTTTAAGTTATCGCTGTCCCAAGCTGTCAGCTCTCAAATTCTCAAAGACTTTCCGACTTTGCTGAAACTGCCAGAATTCCAGGAAAGTACCAGATGTTACTTCCTGTCCACATAGCAAAACTTGAACTGTGTCCCTTCTGCATGTAAGAGTTGGCTATCTGCCAGATCTCTTTGTATTTACTTGATATTACCTTAATATAGGTATAATTAATACACAATAGTCCTCCAATTAGAATGAACGGTTACAGGAATGTGCACTTTTCAAAAAATTTTAACGTTGATAATGTTAATTTACGAGGGTACAAATGGACTGAAACCGTTAGTAACAGAATTTGTAATGTAAATAAAATCTGTAACAGTTTGTAATTATTGGTACATTTCTAGGCAGCAGCAACTTAACACGTTACCATGGCAACTAATCAACACACAACAATAGAGGAAATGGAAAAGCCATGGAAACGATGTTTTCTATGCGGTTAGTGCTGGAACCTTATAAATATGAGTGAAATACGATAATAAACGTGAGGTATATGGCTAATTCAATTTCACTCTTTAGTGTATGATGCAATACCATAGGCAAGCTGGCAGCATATGACATCATGCACTAAAGATGTCCACTGGTAATAGTTGTGTTGCATATGTGAGAGTGTACAGTAAAAGGAAGCAGTTAGAAGAAGATAATTGTAATGATGTACCCAAATGAACAAAGTTAAATGCCAAACGACAGCGTGAATATAGAGAAACACATAAAAACTTATATGTTGAATACATGCATAATTACAGATGCTACAACATTGAGATAGATAGATCCAACATTTTTAAATATGGATAATGTGCCCAAGGATACTTATGAATTAGATGAAATCAGCCAACATTCTAGTGACATTGAATGTTTATTTCCCCAACAACACATGCTATTATGGAACACAGACAAATACTTGGAAATAGCCCCAGGTCAAGACAACAAACCTCTCAGCATTATGTAATTGTAATATACAAAGTAGATTTATTCCAGTACAGATCCCAGTTTCATTATGTTTTGAACCTGGGAATCAAGGTTTGCCAGTCACTTTTTTTAAACCCACATTCCAAAACTGGATGCATCTTAAATTTGAGGGTGTCTTATATTCAAAGTAATACAGTGTATACTGCATTTCTTCCTCGAACTATTACAGGAATCATAAGCACAATATGTCATGTTTAAAAATAATTGTTAATACTACATTATATGAATATGAACGCACCTTTTTAATTGTGCTGTAGGTTGTGAAGTGCATTAAAGACCATCGCCGGCAACGCCGTCATCGTCTCCCCAGTTCTTCTTTACGCAAGATTCCAACAGCCAAATTCTCAAAGGGTGACCCATATGAAACATGTGCAATCTGTCTTGAGGATTATCAGGAAGGAGAGAAGTTGCGTATATTGCCCTGTGCTCATGGTAGGTTGACTGTCCTTTGCTGATAATACTAATTCACATATATTCCTCTAATGTATCTAGTACTCTCTGTTATCTGTGCTGATGAAGGGGGAAGGATGTAGGAATATTGAAAAAAAAAAGGGTGGATGATCGAAGGTAATTGGCAGACATCATGAGGAAATGTACACGAAGTGTCCGATTTGTTTAATTATTGCGGAAGACAGAAGACTTATGCAAAAAAGTGTATTTAATATAAAATATGTTTTGTTTTTCTCTACAGTGGAAAGAATGTTTTCTCACTCCAGACATGTGCAGAAAATTGTATAGATCTTTGTGTCAAGTGGCTATAATAATTGTCTGAGCAAATTGAAAATTGAAATGACTTTGTATTTTTTTCGTTACTGTGTTCACAAGAGCCCACCACTGGTCCATAATCTGAGCCATATGAATCCAGGCCATACCACCCCAGTCTATGTTTTTGAGATCCATTTTAATATTGCCTTCCCATCTGTGTCTAGGTCTCATCAGTGAACTCTTTCCTTCTGGCTTTTCCATCAAAACCATGTATGCATTCATGGTTGATACATGCTCTGCCCATGTCACCCTCCATGACTTGATTGTTCTAATTACGTATATCGTATATTTGATGAATATAAGTTATGAAGCTCCTTAACATGCAGTTTTCTTCAGCCACCTATTATTTCATCAGTGTTCATCCTAGATATTCTCCTGAGTACCCTGTTCTCAAATGCCCTCAGTCTGTGTTCATCCCTTAATGTCAGAGGCCAAGTTTGAGACCCATACAAAACTGTGGCCAAATTATTTTTTTTTTTTAACTTTTTGGGCCACAGACGACGGAAATTTCTGAACTGAATAGTAGTGAGCATTACCTGATGAACTCTGCCACATTTTCAGCAGATCTGTTAGTGATCTCTGTGTTGTGATTTTGCCCTGCATTTTGATGAAAAGACATCATCATGAAATTTATCAGACACGTGTTTGCATATGTGGACTCTACTGTACATTTCATTTGAACACATTTTAATCAGCAGTGCAGTAATGGGGAAGTCTGCAGGTGTCATCTGAAAGTCTTCATCAAATTTTATGTCAGGCTTCAAGCTGTAATAAAATTTGCCAGGCAGCTTTCCTGTTGGACATTTCAGAGGAATGTATTACCTCCATCTTCAGGGTAGAAAAATCCATGAGTGAGGAACCAGCTTGAGCAGGTGGCTGCAGCTGCTCACGGATTTTTCTACCCTGAAGATGGAGGTAATACATTCCTCTGAAATGTCAGTTCACACAAGATCTACATGGTGCAACAGCCCAGAAGATGGCATTCTTCTACATCAACATTGATTTTTTTTCTCTACAGCCTACCATTCAAAGTGCATAGACCCATGGTTGACTCGAAACCGGCGAGTGTGCCCTGTCTGCAAGAGAAAGGTATTTGCTGAAGGCGAGCGTGTGTCAGAAACGGAAAGTGAGAGTGATGCAGATGACACAACCCCACTGATTCGACCCAGCTCATATGGAACTCAGGGAGGAACATTTATGCCTCAGAGGGTATGTCTGATTCATTTCAAGTTGTAGGAAATATGCTAATCATACCTATTAAAGTAGATTAAGTTGAGTAATATGATTATTTACCTTTATTCAAAGTTCTGTCATGCTGAAAATAATTTAGATCTTAACAATAGTGGCAGCTTAATATACTGATTGTCCTCCTCGCAGGATTTATAAAAGTAAGCTTTGGAAATGAGTGACATTCTGTGTTTTACTTTAAAATGTTATCACAACTTGGCCAGAGGAAGTATTTTTTCATAGCACCTCAGCCAGTGGTCTCTCCCTGTTGGATAGTAGCCTACTCTTCTGTTTAGTCCAGTCATTCCATCACCTGCTACTCTCTGCTCATTGCCTGATCTATATAAAGGCTTCTGTCCCCATCCATGACTTCCACCTTGAACATAAATGCAACATTTGCTAAAACGGAAAATCATCTTCATTCTACATGGCGTTGTAATGCCGATAAGGTTATGTACATGTAGATATAGTTTTGGGGTAAAATTGGAATAATAGTAGCTAGACTATAAGATTAAGAAGTAGCCGTGATGAAACGGCCCAGGAAGTTTAGGTCTACAAAGAATTGTAACAGGGAATGCCTGAGTCATTAGAATGCTAACCCGGCAGTGTAATAGCGCTGACATTGAGGAAGGAGCTATATGAAGTGGGTCATAAACACTATGGCAGGAGGAAAACGCTGAGTCAGAGGAGGCGGTAGACCCGAAAGAGTCAACCCCTTCTCGATGGGCAACCAATGAGGGAGGCCAAAATCACGTCAGAATGGGCAGGCAACCTACCCGGAACTCAAAGAATCAGCAAAGAGAGGTTATATAAACCCTAGAAGACTTAATCAAAAAACCTTTTGCCTTTAGACTTTTGATTGATATTAAGTAACTTAGAGTTCAGGGGAGGCTATCGCCGAGAGAGCGATGGCCGTGAGTGTGCGCTGGTGGCTGATGGCGAGCATCTATTTCCTCATCTCAAGTAAGCGAAACCAACTTCATATAGCCATGAACATTAAGTGTAACAGTGATAATTGTAAAGTGTAAAACCACAGGGAAGGATAGTCTAACTAGGTTGACTAGGTTCATTTGAGATACCGCGGCATAGAATACCCGCCAGTAGGGTGACAGGAGGTAGAACCAATGATGACTGCAGGTTCATTATCCAGTGTAGTACAACCGACGAACGTCGGTAAGAGTGCATATAGATGTATGTAGTGACATAGAGAAATAGAATAGAATAGACATGCGTGTGAGTTTACTTTAACCTAGCAATTCCTTAAGTGTTACCCTCTTCCTTGACGACTCCAGGACCTCCCAACACTCCAGCAAATTACGAGTACAGCCAGGACAGTGACGCAAGCTATGATAAGTTTACTAGATTTCTTGAAAATAACAAGATGGTGGCAGCATACTAAACAGGGTGACAGAGCGGGATATTTCCACGCCCTCTTGTCACCTCGGCATAAGAGAGGTGTAGCGGCGGCTTAA